TTGGAAGGAAGATGGGGCAATCTATTTTCATAGTGATACTGCCTCAGAAACCCAAGGAGGGGTCGCTATGAGTCAGGTCCGACTTGACGGCACATAACAACAGCAACAACATAATGTAGAGAAAGGAGTCTCAGCAGCACAATGATTAAGTGCTCAGCTACTAATCTAAAGGTCAATGGTTCAAACCCACCAGTGGCTCAGTGCGAGTAAAGACTAGATGATCTGCTCCTGTAAAGATTACAGCCTAGGAAACTCTATGAGGCAGTTCCACTCTGTCATAGAGTCGCTATGAGTCAGAGTCAGCTCGACAGCACACAACAACAATATAATGTAGAGACACAGGATGATACTCCAGTAACTCAACAATGGAACCCAAACATGCTCATGGTGATCTATAGATGGAACTGGAAAACTTGGCCTAAAGTAAGATCTTTCAGTGACTGGATCATTTAAATTTATTAACATAGTTTTAAATTTTGAATTTATGAACATAGTTTTTTAAAGTAGAAATACAAGAACATCTTATCTTACACCTGGGAAAAGTTGAATTGGCAAAAGTTGTGTGATAGATACATTTACAACAACAACAAAAGATTAGCAGCTGAGGCTGCTTTTATACATCTAAAAACCTCCTGGGATTTGGTTTGGAGGTTTAGGGTCATTGCTTCAAGGAACATCAAGTTAATTGGTCTAATAACATGTTTAGTGCTTCGGTTCTACGTCCTAGTTTGCTGCATAGTGCCTGGGGTCTTAAAAGCTTGCAAGCAGCCATCCAAGGCACAACAATTGTTCTCCATTTGCTTGGAGCAACAGAGGAAGAAGAGTCAGGAATAGGAGGAAGGTATGAAATGTGTAGCTAACTGTCTCCATGAATAATTGTTTACTTTGCCTTGAGACCAGAGAATTGGATGGTTCTTGGCTACCATGACTGAACATTTTGATCAAAGATTATACAGAAGAATCCTAGTCAAAAGGGGGGAAATGCAGAACAGAATTTCAAATTTTCATGGACTACAGACATTCTGGAGCCATAGAAGCTGGACACACCCCTGCAACTATTGGCCTGAGATAAAGTTTACAACTTAAGCCAAAAGATATTCCCTGAAATCTTCTTAAAACCAAACAATAGTCTAGCTTAACTAGTAAAAACTGTCTGTCTTAACAATGGTCCTATAAGTTTATGTGAATGATCAGAATGCCCAGGTGAATAGTAGAGCTGACAAGGGGCAAGGTTGTGGTCATTGCTTGGTCACAGCCAGTTACCCAGAGGGACCAAGTAGTTGAACCTGCGGGCTTGGGACCACAGTCACAGGGGACATCAAGCTCAATTGGCATAACATACTATACGAAACATTGTCCCACCTCCTACTTTGGCGAGTAGCAACTGGGATCTTAAAAGCTA